TCGCCTCTCCTGCCTCCACCGCTCCCAGAGAGCCTCGGTCCTCGCTCCTCCCTGTCCAGGAGCCTCGGTCTTCGACCGCTCCTTCCGAAAACACTTCGACCCACTCGCCTTTCGGATGCCTCCGTGCTCCCTCCCAGGGGGAGAGGAGGGGGAGGAGGAGGAGGAGGAGGAGGAGGAGGAGGAGGAGGAGGAGGAGGAGGAGGGGATGGAGGAGGGAGGGAGGAGGAGGAGGAGGTAAGAGGAGGAGGAGGAGGAGGAGGAGGAGGAGGAGGAGGAGAGGAGAGGAGAGGAGGAGGAGGAGGGGGAGGAGGAAGGGGACGAAGGAGGGGAGGAGGAGGAGGAGGAGGAGGAGGAGGAGGAGGAGGAGGAGGAGGAGCAGGAGAAGGAGCAGGAGCAGGAGCAGGAGCAGGAGCAGGAGGAGGAGGAGGAGGTGGAGGAGAAGGTGGAGAGGGAGGAGGAGGAGGAGGAGGAGGCGGAGGAGGAGAGGGGGGAGGGGGGGTGCGAGGGGGTCGCCATGCTCTGAGTTTTGACCTCGTCTGGCCTCGGGAGGTCTCCAGAGACCTCGGGAGGCCTCCAGGGACCTATCGAAGCCTCCCAGGGCGGAAACGGGGGGAGAGCGCGGGGGGGGCAGGGGCGTTGGGGAAAATCTCAGCGGTTTCTCTTGTCCGCGGTTCGGCCCCCAAGACCCCCGTGGACCGATCGGGTTCCAAAAAAGGTAACATCAGAAAGATTTGGTCGGGAGCTCCAGCCGCGCCGCTTCCACGACATCCTGGATTGTCACGACGTCGGATGTTGGAGGAGCCGGGTGGGAAGACCCGAGCATGCCATCATATGCTTCCGCGACTCTTTCCTACGCCATGTTGGGTCCTTGTGCTACTCAACGCCAACACGCCACCAACAGCTCGCCTCTAGGAGTCGGCTCAATCGCCAATATTCGCTCGACATACAATGGCATAACCAAAGGCGGCCACCGACACGAATATGTCCAGGAGAGTCGACCCAATGATGAGGGGCACCCAAGGCGGGGCGGCAGGGAGACTGAGGAAAGAAACAACGCTGGGGTGAAGTGGCAGGACGCTGGGTCCTCGCATTGAGCATCCAGGCATGCGATGTGTTGATTGTTCCACTCCACGGTCCCCGGAAGTGCCGCCCTTTTTCCCCTGGGCCAGTTTTTGTCCCGAGCCGTGCTCTTACAGTCCCGAGGCCCAGCGAGGGTCCCCGAAGGCCGCGAATTGCTGAAAAACCTCCCGTCGTGATTGTTGTACGAATCGAGGGGGCCTGGGTCGGTTGATCCCTTGGAGACACAGTAGGGCACGAAATGGGCCACGAAATTGCCTGGGCGCCCCGGGCAATTTCACGTGATCGGTTATGTGCGGCACGGCGGGATGGGCACCCCTGGCAGCCCGCCCAACGGTGCGGGCGTGGGACCACGCCCCCTTCTGGAACGCATCGTGTGTTCACACGATGCGGCTTCGCCCTCTCCCGGCCGCGTGAGGCCCCGCCTTCTTCCGCCCGTCCTCTGCTAATTGAAGCTGTGCGCGTCCCGCTTAGCTTTCAGCGGAGGAGGTTCGCCCTCGCCCTGCAAATCAAAAAAGTGTTCCCACGATGCGTTCCGGAAGGGGCCCCGTGGCGCGCAGCTTGGCCAGACTCCTTGAGAGGCCCTGGGGGGGAAGGGGCGGCGGCGGCTCCGCGCTCGGCAGGGACGCAGAAGGACACGAAGAGGGCCAAGGGCAGAAACAAAGAGCTCCCCACTGGAGCCGGAAGCTGACCTCGTGTGGCTGGCCGAAGAGGAAGAGGAGCAGGAGGAGGAGGAGAAGGAGGAGGACAATGGGGAGGATGGAAGATAGAGGATGAGGAGGAGGAGGAGGAGGAGGAGGAGGAGGAGGAGGAGGAAGGAGGGAGGAGAAGGAGGAGGAGAAGGAGGAGGAGGAGGAGGACGAGGAGAGGGAGGAGGAGGAGCAGGAGGAGGAGGAGGACGAGGAGGAGCAGGAGGAGGAGGAGGACGAGGAGGAGGAAGGAACGAGGGAGGCGGGAGGGAGGCGGGAGGAGGGAGGCGGGAGGAGGGAGGCGGGAGGAGGGAGAAGGGAGGAGGGAGGCGGGAGGTGGGAGGCGGGAGGAGGGAGGAGGAGGAGGAGGAGGAGGAGGAGGAGGAGGAGGAGGAGGCGGAGGAGGACGGAAGAGGAGGACGAGGAGGAGGAGGAGGAGGAGGAGGAGGAGGAGGAGGAGGCGGAGCGTCCACGGAGGTCCCTTGGTCAAGCTACCCTTGGCCCCTCACCCGCTGCCCGCTCGAGCGCCTCCACTCGCCCATCGGCAAGTCGGTGGCGAGGCGAGCAGCGCGAGCGATGAGGAGTGAGGTGGGCGGGTCGGGCGCGGTCGAGCCAGGGGCTCGCCTTTGCGCGTGCAGCAGGCGGTGGAAATGATAAAGAATGACAATCTGACGCAGACGCCCCAGCAAGCATTCAGAAAGAGCAAGACGGTCAGAGAGAGAAGCATGAAGTTGAGACGGGAGACCATAGCAACATTCCAGAGAAATCGGCGGCAATCGATGTAGTGAGCAAGGCTATCTCGGGCGCATTCGCACCCGAGCAGGCAGCCTCGGCCGTCATTCCTTAGTCTGGTGTCTGTGACCCACCCCCCTGTCCAGGCACGGATGGCGGCCATCCGCCAAGAGGGGGGGGCCGAGGCGAGCGTCGAATTAATGGCGGCCCAGTCGAAGGCCGCAGAGGTCTCGAGAGGGATCGAGAACCACTTTACGAGACGGAGACGCAGGCAGGCGATGAGAGACCGAGGAGGGGAGGAGGGGGCACGAGGGGGAGACAGGTAAATCGCAGGACGGATACCTCTCAAGAGAGCGCGCTGCACTTTGAGCCTTGGGCCGCCTTTGCAAGCAGCGCCAGATCGCTCCACCCTCTGCGGTGCGGAGCGTTCCCGCGCAGCACGACGCTCGGCCTCGAGGGCCGCCAGCCCCTCTTGGGCCGCCCGTCGGTCCCGCCCCAAGGACGGCCTAGCTTTCGCCGCCTCCCGCAAGGACCACGCCACCGCCGGCTCCCGCCAGAAGGACGGCCAGTGGCAGAGCTCCTGGGCCCCACGGGGGCCGCGCCAGTGCAGCTGGCCAACCTGGGCGTGCTCCCACGCAGCGGCTTCTAGGAGGCCGCACATCCTGGACCAACACTCTTTAAACGACAGGGCAGTCCTCATCCTGGCGGCGAGAGCGTTGCTTCGGATACCCTGGACCCGCGGACCACCGAGGGAGTCGAGGTCGAGGAAGCAGGAGGCAGAGAGCCAGGATCCAGGGGCCCGGAACACGCGGGTCAACAGATCTTTCTCACGCCGCTGGAGGGACCGAGGGATCTCATATAACTGTGACTTGTATGAGAGCACGCTGAGCGCCCGCTCGTGATAGAGCGAGACGACGGCAGCAGTGTCAGCATGGGACCGCGCCAGGGCTGCGACGCGGTGCTCAAGCTTCGCCGCAGGTGCTGCCCACTGCTCTTCACTCTCAGCAGCGGGGCCTACAGCACAGCCGAGGTACTCAAGCGTCGGACCGACCTCGAACTCAGCCCAGGATGCACACGCGGAGGCCAGCAGTTCGGACGTCGGGGCAATGAGATCATCCGACCACGGGGCCCAAAGAGGGGTGGCACAGCATTTCGGGGGTTTTAAAGCGAGCCCCGCCAACTTATCGGAGTTCTTGAAAATCCTAGCGAGCTCCCTGAGGCCTGGCTTTCCCCACACAACCGCCCCCACGTCGTCCGCGCACCACCTCCCGACTCCTTTGCCAGCGGCCTCTAGGGTGCGCTCCATATCCGCGCAGAACGGATGAGCAGCTAGGACGAACGAAATGCCAGAAAGAGGATCACCCTGGAGGACCCCCGCGAGGATGAGGAAGAGGAGGCCCCGAGAGCAGTCGGAGCTAACGGCAGCAGCCATAAGATAGTTGGCTCGGATTGCATTCACCAGGGCCTCTGGGGCTCCCCATTGGGTCAGGACGGCCCAGAGCCACGAGTGGGCCACAGATGGGAAGGCATGTGCATAGTCATAGGCAAGAAGCAGAGGCGAGGCGAGGTCAGAGGGGGGTGATTCAGAGCACGCATGCTTGCAATTCTCGCGTGACCGTCGAGCTCAATTAGGTTTTCGAGAAAGTGCCGCTCACAGATGAAGCCACGCTGGCTGGGCGCCACTGCTGCTTACACGGCCCGCTTCAGAGGGTGGTTCAGGGCCGCGCTGATCGCCTTGGTCCCCGTGTTGCGCAACGACAGCGGGCGCGTGCAGCCAGGGGCTCGCGAGACGCTCACCATGTCGGTCACCAGCGAGCCCTTCGGCAGGAAGATGCTGATCGCGTGGTTGTAGTCCGAGCGCATGGGCAGGCCATCCAGCATCCACACCAGGGAACGGTGGAGAGCCTCTGCGCCGCCCGAGGCCACAGCCCAGGCCGCGGCGGGGAGGCCGTCTGGGCCAGGGGCCGCTGGGCGCGCACGGCGGAGCGCCTCTCGCACCGTCGCCACTGCGGGCGGGCGGTAGGCGTCCCAGTCGACGGCGGGAACCCCGAAGCGCCTCAGGTAGGCCGGCTGCTCTCGGGCCCTCTGCTCGGTGAGCGCGGCTGGCGTCGGCGGGCAGAACACCTTGCCCCAGTGTTGGCCCAGCGCTGCGTTGATGTCGGAGGCCTCGGTCAGCTCGGCACCATCTGTCTCGAGGCACGCGAGGTAGCGCCGAGCGTTGAAGGGAGCCCAGAGCCGCGCCCGTCGCTTCAGAGCCCGCTGCTGGGCCACGAGCTGACGCCGACGGTTTTCTTCAGGTTCATGCTGGGCCGCCTCCTCAAGGGCGCGGCGTCTGCCCGCCGCGTCCTTCCGCTGGGCGATGTTGTATCTCCTCTGGAACTCCGCGTAGTCGAGGATCTCGACCGAGCGAGACTGCTCCGAGGCCCTGACCAGCTCACGCGCCCAGGCGTTCTGGGCCACCACCAGCTGCGCCAGCCTCCAGTCTTGGCGCCAGAACGCCCTCGCCAGCTGGCGCCAGATGATGGCGGAGGCGCCCTTGGTCCAGCCCTCGGCAACGAGGATCTCGTTCTGGACATCCTTGGCCGCCGCCTGCAGGATCCGCGTGAAATACTTGTATTCGTCGGGCGGCTCTTGGTGCTGCATGGGGACCATCGCCAGGTACCCGTCAACAATCTCCTTGAAGCGCGGGCGCTGGACCACGGCGAGGGGGATGGCCGCTGGCGTGTCAGGGTGTCGGCGTGCAGGCGTACGCCGCAGCAGCGAGACAGCGACCATGGAGTGATCGCTAATCCCGCGGATGTGCATCTCGCGCGCCTCGCCTCGCACTTGGCACGCCTGCCAGCCTTGGCAGAGCTGCCACCGCGGGATCCCCACGAACACGCGGTCGATGGAGGAGCTGGTGCGCGTGCTGGCGTTCCAGTGCGTCGGCTTGCCAGGCATCATCTCCGTGGCTGCCCGCAGCGCATCCAGCCATTGCCGCTGGCCAGGGTGACGGGCCAGGCGTGCGGTCTGGCCAGTTGCGGCTGCCGCTTGAGCACGTCCGCCTCCACCGCGGCTGGGCCGCGTGGCCCAGCCGCGGAGGAGGAGGAGGAGGAGGAGGACGAGGAGGAGGAGGAGGAGGAGGAGGAGGGAGGAGGGAAGAGGAGGGAAGAGGAGGGAAGAGAACGGAAGAGGAGGAGGAGGAGGAGGAGGAGGAGGAGGAGGAGGAGGAGGAGGAGGGAGGAGGAGAAGGAGGAACAGAGGCAGCGCCACGGCCACGCAACGTTTCAGCTTCGCCCGGCCACACTGGCATCGCACTGCTTCGCATACGACAGCGTCGTGGTTCTGCCAATCCTCTGGTCGAATCCTGCGTGGTACGAACAACTCTTGGATTACATTCGCACGGCAGAGATCGGAAATTCGCCCAAATGAACACATATCGTGAAGTGCGCCTCTCCCCAACATCTCACACTCATACATCAGCAGAACAAGCCCTGCGGACACGCCTGCGCCGCTCCCAGGGCTCCTGGAAGCCCTCCCGGCAACCTGGCGACACGCAACCCGATCGGATGCCAAATGTTCGCCGCGTCCAAACGTGCCCGTGGCGCCGGAGGGCTGGGCGGCAGCGCCCCCGACCCCGCCCCCCGCCCCTGGGCGGCGCCAGCCCCAACCTGCCTCCAGCGGTGGCATCGGCTCCGGTTGCCTGCCGCCGTTCGGCGGCAGACCTCCCCGGCGCCCCGTTCCGATGGGTCGCCGCCGCCTCTCGAGCCTCTCGGTCCTGTTCCCCCTTCTCCTCCCCCCTGTCCACCTCTCCCCCTCCTCCTCCTCCCACTCCTCCACCTCCTCCTCTTCCTCCTCCACCCCCTCCTGCTGTTCGTCCTCACTTTCCATCTCCTCATCCTCATCCTCATCCTCCACCTCCGCCTGCTGCTGCACGCCGCCACCGCACGGCGATCCAAATCCGAATCCAACAAAAACACGCCGCTGAAGGTCGTTTACACGCCGGCCAAGGTCGTTTACACGGGAAGCAGAAAGGGCGGGAGGCCGAGGGCAACACGCTCTCTCTCTCTCTCTCTCTCTTTCTCTGACGAGTTTGAAGAGCGGAGGAGAAGCGGTTGGGTAGGCCTCGCCGCCGTGCGATCGCACTGACGGTGGCCTCGGGCGCGACGTCGAATCGGCTGGGCCCAGAATCGTCGAATCCGATGAGAATCGTAACGACACACAACCAGAACGAGGGACGGCCACTGTGCACACGGCTACTGGGCTCTGAAGAGGGTGGTGGAGGCCCGAAACATCGAGAGGAGAGGCTGGCATCGCGGGTTATACCTCAGACTTCCGTGATAGTAAGTGTCGAAGGTCGCTTCGTCGTCGCAAAGCTCCTCGAGCAGGAAGTTTATTCTAGCTGTCGCGTCGGCCGCCTGGTCGTAGGAGGCGATTGAAGACATGGTCGTTCACGGACATGACGTTATATTGAGAGCCCGTGGCAGCTGGAAAGAATGTTGCTGCCAGTGCCTGCCTGGGCGTGCGCAGCACGCACACACACACACACACACACACACACACACACACACACCACATTGCCGCGATCGACCATGATCGCGATGGCGCCAGAGTTGAAGTCCCACCGCTCTCCCGAGGCACCCCAGTCCTCCAGCTCACCTTCAGCGCCTTTCAAGTCCCGCTTGGCCTGCAGCCCTGCCCGGCGCACTCGCGATGCAGCCGTCAATCCAGCGCTTCCTCGTTGCACAACCGGTTCTCGTGGCCCAGCACTTCCTGGTAGCCCAGCGTCTTCACCAGGCCCGGCGCGCTCCCGTGGCCCAGCGTGTTCTCGAAGCCAAGCTCCTTCTCGCGGCCCAACGTGTCTTGGTGGCCCCGCGTGCTCCACATGGCCCAGCGCCTCCTCGCAGCCCTGCGCCGTCTCGTGGCCCGGCGCGCTCTCGTGGCCCAGCGTGCTCTCGTTGCCCAGCACCTTCGCCAGGCCCCGCGCGCCCCCGTGGCCCAGCGCGACCTGGTGGCCCAGTGCGGTCTCGTGGTCCAGCATGTTCTCGTGGCCCAGCGCGCTCTGGCGGCCCAGCGCCTTCTCGTGGCCCAGCATGTTCTCGGGGCCTGGCGCGCTCTCGTGGCCCAGCGCTCTCTCGTGATCCAGCGCCTCCTCGTGGCCCAGAGCGCTCTCGTAGCCCAGGGCGCTCTCACGGCCAAGCCTAAGCCTGTTCTCGTGGCCTTGAATGGTATCGTAACACGTCGCGTTCTGGCGGCCTGGCGTCTTCTCGCAGCCAAACGCCTTCTCGTGGCCTGGGGCGCCCAGCTGGCCCAGCGTTTTCGCGTAGAACACTCGTGGCCCAGCGTGTTCTCGTGGCCCTGCGCCTTCTAGTAGCCTAGGGCGCTCTCGCGGCCCAGCGTCTCTCAGCGGCCAAGCGCTCTCGCAGCCCAGCGCCATCTCGTGGCCTGGCGCGCGCTCGCAGCCTTACTACAAACATCCCGCGTGCTCTCGTGGCCCAGCCCCTTCTGCAGGCCCAACGCACTCTCGTGGCCCAGCGCGTCCCAGTGGCCAAGCATGCTTTGGTGGCTCAGCGCCTTCTCGTAGCCCAGCGCCTTCTCGTAGCTGGCGCGTTCTGTTTGCCCGGCGCCTGCTTGTAGCCCAGCGCCGTTTCGTGGCCCAGCGTGCTCTGGTAGCCCAGCGTCTTCTCGGAGCCCAGCGCCATCTCCTCATAGCTTGCAGGTACGATGTGCAATGGCATGGCGCCTGGCAGGCAGAGCCTCGCGCGCCTGCGTGGCCCGCGCGAACGCGTCGGGCCCCTCTGCCCACCCAGAGCCTTCTGGTGGCCTGGCGTGTTCTGGTAGCCCGGAGCCTTCTTTACCCAGCGCCCTCTCGTGGCCCGGCGTGCTCAAGGTGCCCAGCGCCTTCTCGTAGCCCAGCGCCGTCTCGCGGCCCAGCGTGTTATCTCAACCCAACGCCCTCGTCGGCACCAGGGCCTGGCACACCCTGTTCTGTAGACTCAGTCTCGCCGACGCTGCCTTCGGACGCTCGCTGGTCGTCAGAGCTCTGCTGTTTGTGGTCCTGCGCGGCAAGTTCCTGGCCTTGGTCGTCCGTGGCCGCTTGTGTCATCTGGGATCCAGTGTCATGAGCGCGGGTGGCGTTGAGCAGGGCGTGTTCCCGATAGGTTCCAAACTGCTGCCGCCACGATACTTCCCACCATGCGAGCTGGGCCTGCAGCTCTCTGGTGAACCCAGCTTACCGCTGCAGCGTCGTACCAACTAGCCCCCGGACGGCAAATTGCTTAGTTGTTCGTGTTTGCTGTACTCGATTGAAGCATGGTTTTTGTTGCCCATCATCACTCTTGCCACACCAGGGCTTCGCGCACCAGAAAGGCGCGCCGTGCCCTGACCAAGCCGCACGAAGCAACCTGCTCCTCCACCTCCTGCTCCTCCTCCTCCTCCTCCTAATCATCAGCATCATCATCATCATCATCATCATCATCATCATCATCATCATCATCATCATCATCATCATTATCATAATCATCATCATCATCAGCATCATCATCATCAGCATCATCATCAGCATCTGCATCCTCATCATCACCATCAGCATCATCAGCATCATCATCAGTATCAGCATCAGCATGATCAACATCATCAGCAGCATCATCATCATCATCCGCATCAGCATCAGCCTCATCATCATGTATATCACCATACTCATCATCATCAGAAACATCATCAGCATCAGCATCAGTATCATCATCATCACCATCATCATCAGAATCATTGTCCTTGTTTTCCTCGCCACCATCATGACCCTCCTCGTCCTCCTTCCTCATCCTCCTCATTATTCTCACACTCTTCATACTCCTCTTCCTCCTGGTTCCCTTCCAGCTTGCCATTTCGTTCAGCTTGCTTGGCGAGAATCATATCCAGCCGACGCCTGTCAGCTACCACCGTTGCCAAAATCAAGTTCATTCTCCTCCGTCTCTGCCCCCAGCTGCGCACTCGACTCGTTCCCCTTCTTGGCGGCACGCACAAAGAGGGCAGGGGGAGGCGGGAAGGCTTCCTCGAAGGAGGCCGCTTCTCAGAAGAGGCCGGCCTTACATCTCTAGACAAGGCAAGGCCCGCGCCTTCGAAGAAGCAGCCTCCTTCTCACGAGCCTCCCCACCTCCCCCCACCCCCCCTCTGCGCGTGGCCGGCGCGCCCCCCCACCCGCGTCCACTCCTCCAGCTCCCACCTCCTCGACCGAGCGCGCGCGCGGAGGGCGGCGAGCACACCCCCCGCGCGGACCTGGCAGCACGGGCCGCCCGCGTGCCGACGAGGGCGCGGCGGCGACGCCGGGCAGCGAGGCCCGCCCGCGCGCCGACGAGGACGCCTCGGCGCCGACTCCTGGAGGCCAGGCGGGGGGGGGGGGGGGGAGAGCGTCTCGGAGAACTCTGAGGGCTGGTCGTGCAGGCACCATGCCAGCCTGGGAAGCCACACCTCTCCTCACGGGGCGACTCACGAGGTTCCAAGATTCAAGATCGTGTTCCGTGTGCCCTCCCAAGAGCCTCTGAGCTATGAAGGCCCAAGAACGCGCGCGCGCGACGTTCAAAGTTCATGCTCCGGTGCGCGAAATGGCCCAACGTCCCCCCCCATCCTCAGAGCCATCACGGCCCAAGAACGCGCGCGCGCGCGACGCGCACGCGAGCGCTGGAAGCGCTGCTTGCTCGGCGCTGGGGGGCCGTCGGGGGGGGGGGGGGGAAAAGAAAAAAAAAAAAAAAAAATGGTGCCGCCCCAAAAAAACGGCTCCAATTGAGAGGCTGGTCCGCCAGCGAGGGGATCGAGAGATCTCCAGGGGCCAGCGGCTCGAACAAAAACAAGTCGTCGGAAGTACGGGTCCTCCTTCTCCTCCTCGTCCTCCCTTCGATACCTTTCGATATCGGGTCTATGCCGCAGGCTGCGGCGTACACGTTCAGCTAAGCGCATTTTTGTGGGCACCGAGCAGAATACTCCTCCGACCTTCTCTTCCCTGGTCCTCGTCCTCCTCATCTTCCTCCCGCTGACGCACCCGCACGCTTCCCCCATTTTCCTTCTGCCCCTCCCACTCTCTCCCGGCACTCTGCAAGGATAAGCTGCACAAAACTGGATTAACAAATGTTGACCGCGGGGATCGAGAGAGACATGGTTGGCCTCCCGTTAGGCTACGAGGCCCCGGGACAATGTTGGCTTTAAGACCGAATTTGAAGTTTCTGATGCATCTCGCACCACTTCTTATTACAAAGGCCAAGTGGGACCCGCATCAGAGAGTGGCGTCCCGCCCAATACGCACTTAGAAACAGTTTCTGATGGCCATCCAGCACGATCAGAAACTTTGCCCTGCCATCCGAAAGTGGCGAGTTCGCTCGGGACTCCCTCACAACTGATTTCCAGTCGTTTTCCATGCCGCCAGAGAGCAGCACATTCGATCAAGACTTCCTGGCTACGAAGTATCTCAGACCGCCAGGATGCGACGATGTCACGTGAGACCTCCTCAACGACTCGTTCAGCAACTTGTTTCCATCCTCGCATCAGTGGACCTCGAGCGCGCGCGCGCTTGCACACACGCGCCATGAACTTCCTATTCTTCTCTCTCTCTCTCTTTCTTTCTCTCTCTCTCTCTTTCTCTCTCTCGCTACGCGCATCATAACTGTTACTTGTCTCGCATTGCACGTTGCTCGTCTTGGGGTCGCATTGAGGTCGCGTCGGGTAGAAGAGTCCTCAGGGGGAGGTGTCGGGGCCCCAGGGTCGTCTTGAAGCCGCACTGGGGCCGCGAGGCACGGATCATGCATCCTCGATCTCAGATCTCCGATCTTCGATCGAGCCTCGATCTTCGACCTCTGATCAACCCTGGATCATGGAGCGTCGTCTCTCGATCGATCCTGGGCCTTCGATCCCCGATCTTCGATCGCCCATCGATCTTCGACCTTCGATTCATCTCTGTAAGCGTTTTCTTATTCGGCGTTTCGACATTGGGAGGAAGGGGGGGAGGGAGGGGGGGGGTCTGGCTCCGGACCTCTGCAAGTGCGACTGTTTGCAGCAGTGCGTCCATATGGGGGAGGCTCCACCTGCTCGAAGCAGGCGCCAAAACCAGCCAAGATCTACTCCGCTGGGGAGGGGGAGGTGGGGGGGGTGCGAGGGCCCGCGCCTATCGGCAAGACAATGGAAAAATACTATCACATCTTCGATCGATCATCGATCTTCTGCCTTCGATTCATCCTTGATCCTCGGCCCTGGGGCTTCGATCCTCGATGGATCCTGGATCCTCAATCCTCCTCGATCTTCGCCTGGCCCTCGACCCTCGATATCCGACCGTCCATGGATCCTGGAGCCTTGCTGTTCGATCGATCCTGAATCCTCGATGCTCGACCTTCGGTCGATCATCGATCATTGACCTTCCGTCGATGCCGGGCCCTTCACCCTGTGGATCTTCGATCGTCGATCGACCATCGATCCTCGATCTCGAATCGGCCCCCGAATCTGGGGCCTCGTCTTCGATCGATCCCGGAAATTCGGTCCTCGATCGATCCTGCATCGCCGATCCGAAGATCGAGGATACAGGATCCAGGCTCGAAGATCGAGGATCCAGGACAGATCGAAAGCCAAAGCTCCGAGGCCCAGGATCGACAAGATGCCACTGACTCAGCGTCGTTCGGACATCAAGGGCCTAGGATCGAGGGCCCTGGATCGTTCGAAGAACAAACATCGAGGGACGATGGAAGATCGAAGACCCGCGATCGAGGATCGGGGTCGGTCGAAGATCAGGGACCCAGGATCCAGGATACGGGGTCGGTCGGATGTCGAAACCCGAGGGCCGACTGACAAGCGGAGGTCCCCCCGTGGAGTGCTGATAGCTACTCTTTAATCCAGGGGGGGTGCAAAAACTATCACTTCGGGCAGTCTCCAGCGTTCGCATCCGCAGCCACTTCGACTCGAGACATGTCTCCGGGCACTCGGCCGAAGCCGGCTCCAGCCCTGCGCCAGGAAGCGAAAAAGCCGCCGGCGTGCACCCCGGCGCAGAGCTGCCGGGAGGCCAAAAGACCTCGAGGCAGAGGGTGCCAGCGCTGGCTCGCCAGGAGGTGGGGAAGGGTGGGGGGGGGGCGAGGGGGCGGAAGATAGCTCAGGAGGGGAGGGGGAGAGAGAGATCCGAGGGGGGGAGGGGAAGGGGGCGCGGCGCGGGGAGAGGGAGAAGGGGGGGGGAGGGAGAGGCGGAGGGGAAGGGGGAGGGAGCTAGGGCGAGCTGCTGGCTCTGGCTGGGGCTGTGGTGCAGGGGGGGCGCACGGGGCGCCTCGACGGGCCGTGGCACCGCGCGAGCCCGATGGAACGACGAACGCATCACCCGATGAACTGGAGTGGCAGTGCTGCGGCTGCGACTTAGGCGCGCCCGAGCCTGCTCGATCGGAACGAACCCGATCCTGCAGAGACGAGCTGGGACTTCGCCACGGGCGCCACCCTCAACCGGCGCTGCAGTAGCCCTTCCGACCCCCCGCCCCGGTCCTGCGACCGCGTTGGCCTCCCACGGCCTCGGACGCACCCACCACCCGATCCTGGCCGACCCCAGGAGGTGGAGAACCGGGCACGTACACCGATCTGGGCCAGGCTCATCCTGAGCCAGAGGCGGTGCATAAGCCCTCCTTGCTTGACGAGGGGGGCACATACACCGATTCGGGGCCCAAGATGGGCCTGCCCAGAGTCAGTGCACCTGAGATCCTAGGGCTCCCTCATGTCGCATGTCGTCCTGGGACCCAGCAGCGAGAGCAGCAACAGCAAGAGACCCGAAGAGCTCTCTTCCCGACCCCGGAGCGATCCACGGCCTCATCCTGATCCTGTTCCAGCAATCCCCGACTTGTACAGCCTCCTCCTCATCATCATTTTCCTCCTCCTCCTCCTCCTCCTCCTCCTCCTCCTCCTCCTCCTCCTACTACTACTCCTCCTCTTCCTCCTCCCTCCTCCCTCCTCCCTCCTCCCTCCTCCCTCCTTCCTCCTTCCTACTCAGCGTCCTGCTGTGAAGACGTCGTCCCTGGACTCTCACGACGCGGGAACCGCGCAACCTTGAACGATCTCCGTCCCCGGAGGTCCTTGGAGGCTCTCGGCACCACGATTCGTACTCGTCGACACCCCAAGCTAAGCGCCTGTCTAAGTTACACTCTTCCTCCAAAAGACACACGCCGAATCTCTCGCAGCCCCCTCCTCCACCGCTTCGGCCAAACATGGGATGCGAACACAATATATCGTGTCGAACTATGCCGTCACGTCGCTGGTGGTGGGGTCCTCAATACGTCACACTCCCTCGCCCAGAGTCCTGGCACATCACCACAGTCGCAAGCCTAGCAGAAGCCACTCGCCACCGTGTCGCCCCGCGACGTGGACTGCTAGGGTCACCGGTCCCAAGGCCGTCCTCCAGAGGGCGTGCAGGTCTGCACGCCCGCGCGAACCGCCGTGCCGAGGCGCGCGGAGCACCCTGCTGATCGAGGGACCGATCGAGAGCGCCTCTTCCGACCACAGCCGATCTGGTGGGACGCAGCAGAGCATACTAGCACTACCGTGCTGATGTTGGAGGCGCACGTTCGATGCATACACATTGTGCCCACATCTCATAGTCCGCCTACCCCCGCTTGCCGGGAGTGAAAAGGCGTGTGAGGCACTTGGCTGTTCCCCTCCCCCATGTCCCCCTCCCCTGTGGTCCATAATGCAGTCTAAGGGGGTTGGGGGGGCGCTCGTCAACGCGCCCCCGTCGCCCCTGAGTCCTCCCACACAGCGCCAAGACAATCGAAGAGAGCGTCGAGACGGCCCAGAGCAGCCCAACGACAACCCAAGACGACCTCAAGATGGCCCACAAGGCCCCCAAGACGGCCCAAAAGTGTTCCTAGAGGACCGCCAAAAAGGCCCCAAGAGACAAAAATCATCCCATTCCATTGGGTCGCTCACGAGGATCCTGAGACGTCCCCAGGGGCCCCCAAGACGGCCCAAGAGAGCCCCAAGACAGATTCAAGAGAGCCCAAGAGGGGGAATACGAATTGATATGTCGAGCCTTTCCCCCCAAGGTGGCCTCAGAAGCCCGCCAGAGGCCCAAGAGGGCCCCAAGAGGCTCCAAGAGGCCTCCAAGACGCCCCCGAGAGCCCCCAACAAGCCCCCAAAAGCCTCCGAGATGCGCTCGTGAGAGGCATATCAAGAGACCCTAAATTCATCCAAGAAGCTCCTGACTCACAGCCCATGCACTGTGGCGGGTTGGGCCGAAGGCCACTAGATCCGCGGCCCCCTGTCGATTCATCGCAGGGGTGCCTGGCGTGGTGGACTTCTTGCGGTTTGGTTTTGGTTCTTTTTCCAAAAGAACGAAGACGCCTACGGCGAATCACCGCCGCCCCCTGCCTTTTTGGAAGCGCCTATGTGGCCGAACGTTGAGGCCAGACCTGCCAAGCTATCGGACCATGTGTTCTGCGAATCGGTTTGGAAAGCCTTCGGGGAACACATGGGCATCTTGAAGGTCATCTTGGCCGTCTGGAAGCCATTTTGACCCTTTCGGGCCCTCTTGGAGAACGTCTTGGAGGGCTCTTGGGCCGTCTTGGAGGCCATCTTGAGCGTCGTGGAGGCCTCTTGGGCCGTCTTGGGAGCCTCTTGGGGCCGTCTTGGGCCTTTTAGGCGATCTTTGGGGGCACTCGGGCCGTCAGAAGGCCGAAAAAATAAAATACCACGATCCTTTAAAAACTCATGGGAAATCAATGATTTGGGCCTTCTTCGGGCTTTCCTGGAGACCCTCTTGGAGGCCTCTTGGGCCGTCTTGGGCCATCTTAGGGCCATCTTCGGCCGTCTTGGTGGGCTCCTGGCCCGTCTGACGCCGTCGAAAGCCGTTTGGGGGGGCCCCTCTGGGCCGACTTGGGGCCCTCTCGGAATGGTCCAGGGCCGTCTTGGAGGCCTTCTTGGGCGTCTTAAAGGCCTCCTGGGCCGTCTTGGGGGTCTCTTGGGGCCGTCTTGGGGGCCTCTTGGGCCGTTCTGGGGCCATCTTGGAGGCCTCTTGGGCGATCTTTGGGCGATCTTTGGGGGCTCTTGGGCCGTATGGGGCCGTCGGAAGGCCGAAACGGTGCAAATCTCAAAATCATTTAAAAACAAAAAGATAGAGAGAGAGAGACAGAGACAGAGACAGAGACAGAGACAGAGACAGAGACAGAGAGAGAGAGAGAGAAAAAAAAAAAAAAAAAAAAAAATGTTTGTGGCCTTTTCTGGCCTTCCTGGAGGTCTCTTGGGCCGTCTTGGACCAGCTTCGAGCCAACTTCGGCCATCTTGGTGGGCTCCTGGCCCGTCTGACGCCGTCGGAGGCCGTTGGGGGGACCTCTCTGGGCCGACTTGGGGCCCTCTCGGGGTGCTCCAGGGCCGGCTGTCTTGGAGGCCATCTTGGGCGCCTTGGAGCCCTCTTGGGTCGTCGTTGTGCCCTCTTGGGGCCGTCTTGGGGGCCTCTTGGGCAGTCCTGGGGCCATCTTGCCAGGCCTCTTGGGCGCTGTGGGGGCGATCTTGGGGACCTCTTGGGCCGTCCTGGGTCGTCGGAAAGCCGAGAAAAAGCGAATGCCACAATCCTTCAAAAACCTTGGGAATATCAGCGATTTTGGCCTCTTCAGGCCCTCCTGGAGGACCTCTTGGAGGCCTTTGGGGCCGTCTTGGATGCCTCTGGGGGGCCTCTTGGGCCGTCTTGGGCCGCCTTGGCCTCTCTTGGGCCGTCTTGGATCCGTCTTGGACCATCTTGGGCGAACTTGGAGGCCATCTTGGACCATCTTGGAGGCCATCTTGGGCCAACGTGACCATATTGGAGGCCATCTTGAGCCGTCTTGGCGGTTTCCAAAAGAACTCCCTCTGGGGCTTCGGCCCGTCCCGCCGGGGTCCCGGAAGGCCGCGTAAACCACCTCAGCGTCCACAAAAATACGCCAAGACGGCTCAAGATGGCCTCCAAGATGGCCACGTTGGCCCAAGATGGTCTTCAAGATGGTCCAAGATGGGCTCCAAGTTCGCCCAAGATGGTGCAAGACGGCCTCCAAGACGGCCCAAGAGAGTCCAAGATACCTCCAAGTTCGCCCAAGAAGCCTCCAAGACGGCCCAACACGACCCAAGAGGCCTCCAAGAAGTCCTCCAAGAGGACCCGAGAGTCCAAAATCATAGATTTTCCTAAGGGTTTTGACGGATTGTGGCATGTGCCTCTTCTCGGCATTCCGACGGCTCAAGACGGCCCAAGAGGCCGCCAAGATCGCCCCAAGATCGCCCACGAGGCCTCCAAGAGGGCCCCATGACGGCCCAAGAGGCCTCCAAGACGGCCCCAAGAGGGCCCCAAGACGGCCCAAGAGACCTCCAAGACGCCCAAGATGGCCTCCAAGACGGCCCCGAAGCGCCCCAAGAGGACCCCAAGTCGGCTCAGAGAGGCCCCCAAGACGGCTCCCGACGGCGTCAGACGGGCCAGGAGCCCACCAAGATGGCCGAAGTTGGCTCGAAGCTGGCCCAAGACGACCCAAGAGGCCTCCAAGAGGGCCTCCAGGAAGGCCAGAAAAAGGCCAAAAACACTGATGTTCCATAGATGTTTGAAGGATTCTGACATTTGCTTATTTTCGGCCTTCCGACGGACCGAGACGGCTCAAGAGCCCCCAAAGATCGCCCAAAGATCGCCCAAGATGCCTCCAAGATGGCCTCAGAACGGCCCAAGAGGCCCCCAAGACGGCCCCAAGAGGCCCCCAAGACGGGCCAGGAGGCTTTTAAGACGCCCAAGATGGCCTCCAAGACGGCCCTGGAGCATTCCAAGAGGGCCCGAAGTCGGCTCAGAGAGGCCCCCCAAACGGCTTCCGATGGCGTCAGACGGGCCAGGAGCCCACCAAGACGGCCGAAGATGGCACTAAGATGGCCCAAGACGGCCCAAGAGGCCTCCAAGAGGGCCTCCAGGAAGAGCCGAAAATGCCAAAATCATGAATTTCCCGTGAATGTTTGGAGGATTGTGTCATTTGCTTTTTGTTCGGCCTTCCGACGGCCGGAGACGGCCCAAGTGCCCCCAAAGATCGCCCAAGAGGCCCAGGACGGCCCCAAGAGGCTCCCAAGACGGCCCAAGAGGCCTCCACGACGCTCAAGATGGCCTCCAAGACGGCCCAAGAGCCGTCCAAGACGTCCTCCAAGAAGGCCCGAAAGGGTCAAAATGGCCTCCAGGCGGCCAAGATGACCTTCAAGATGCCCACGTGTTCCCCGAAGGCTTTCCAAACCGATTCGGGGAACATCAGGTCCGATACCTTGGCAGGTCTGGCCTCAACGTCCGGACACATAGGCGCTTCCAAAACTCAGGGGGCGGCGGTGATTCGCCGTAGGCGTCTAGGATCCGCCGCCCCCTGTCGATTCATCGCAGGGGTGCCTGGCGGGCTGAATCCTCTTGGTTTTGGTTCTTGTTCCAAAAGAACTCCCCCTGGAGCTTCGGCCCGTCCCCTCGGCCACTGCCTAGAGCCCGAATTCCCCAATGTTTCCTCCAAGACGGCTGAAGATGACCTCCAAGATGGCCACGTGGGTCCAAGATGGCCCCCAAGATGGTCCAAGATGGCCTCCTCCAAGTCCGCCCAAGAGAGGGGGAGATGCCTCCGAGTCCGCCCAAGAAACCTCCAAGACGGCCCAAGACGGCCCAAGAGGTGCCCAAGAGGCCTCCAAGACGGCCCAAGAGGTCTCCGAGAGGTCCTCCAGGAGGACCCGAAGAGGCCAAAATCATTGATTCCCCTTAGGTTT